AACTGTAACACCACAAGATAGGAACACCGCAAACTTCTAGAGCGCATCAGCTACAATTCCACAATAAATAAATAGGAACAACGCAACGCAGTCAAAGAGAGCAGTTTCACTGTAGAGAAGCGGCGAAGATAATAGAGCGTACCGTTGTGCCAATGCGGTAACTCAGCATGTGATACTGGGTGTGAATGTCGAAAAGCATGTTGAACGCGGCGATCTGGAAGCCCTTGCGCGAATCCTTTTGGATCGACGCCCAGTTTCTGCCGAGGATGTCGAACGCTCTGTTCTGCCCCACCAGCAGCGTCACCTTGTACCTGGGAAGAATCGCGACGAGCGTGTTGTTAAATTCTTTACGCGAAAAATGGGGAAAACGGGGGATGGGGAGGAAGGAGAGGAGAGGAGTAGAGGAGGGGAGGTGGGAAGAAAGTGGAGGGGAGGGGAGAGGAGAGGTTATTCGGGGAGTTCAGAGAGAATTTGTAAGGGAATGCAGAGTTACTTGATGCATTGGGAATGTTGCCAGATGGGTTGACAGACAGATGACATCAGGGCTATCATGGACCCAAAAGTCATATCTTCGGAACCGGCAGCTTTAGCGTGAGCTCTGCTGGAAATGACCTGCTGTCGAGTGCTGGTGTTGCTCTCGCTTTCTGCTTTTACAAAGGTCTTGGATACACAGGCGGGCGCAGGTCTTGCAATCGACTTGACGTGTCACTTAGGGCGTGTCTTAAGTGGGATGTCAACGGATCATGTCGACGGATGTCGACAAATCCTGACGGTCGGAACCCTCGATCCGAGGGCTGACATTCACCGACATCCTCAGAAGCTTTCCGGCGGACATTGACGCTCACTTCAGACACGCTCTTACTGCTTGTCTTCATGAGCGTGATGTAGGACTTGTAGTTACTTTTCCTCATCAACGAGACCATAATGTCGTTGAAGCCTGTCACCCCGTCGTACGCTGCATCCGTTGACGCTAGCGAGACTAGCGCGATGGTTAGCAGTAGAAGTCGAAGAGAGTGGATCGACATCTTGAAGGCGCGTTGAGTCCGAGTCGAAGCGACAGTACACGGGAGGAGGTGAATTAATGATACTAGAAAGTGATGGAATGCTATGAAGGATGATGCTAGCTCCGAGAGTTATGGAGGCTTAGGGTGATGATGACACTGGCAAGCAAAGCAAAGATCATCGCGAAAATGCTAAGTCAGGAAAGTGACAGATCAGTCACTTAAACGGGACTTTATGGTGACATTCTTAGGTCACGGAAAAGTCATGGTCAGAAGTGCCAATAAGTAAAGTCACAGAAACGTCACGTTGGAGTTCCGAAATTTCGTACAGAAAGTACCAGAAATGTGCCTGGCGAAGTGATGTTCTCGTCACTTCTCGTCACTTTTTTGTTTCACATGCCACGTGGCGAAGTGGCGTTTCATCTTTCTAGATATTTTGCCAGGGTCAATGCTGGTGATTGGTTAAAAAGGACCAATCAAATGTCAGCGAAAGGTGTGCCTAACCGTAATTTGATTGGCTGACGATTCTGAACAGCGACCGCTCGTCGCATATCATTCCACACGTCGAAAATTTCAAAAGAGCACAACGGAGACTACCGTACGCGTTTAGCAAAATGCGTCATAATTTCAATACGTACATGATACATTGACATAGCAAAGACAACCGCACACCCACACAACTGCACATCCATATGTCCACACAGCTAACCAGATCTACTCTAGAGCCTAGTTAGGAACTAAGCCGACCAGATGAGGTCGGGACGGTACTTGATGACACCAGGAAATTTAGTCACGGAACAGTTTGATGCCTGCATAAAAAACGCCGAACGTCATGGAACCTGCACTCAAGACAGCAGCAAACGTTCGTGACACGTGAGAGAGAGAGAGAGAGAGAAAAAACAATAACGAGAACAGCTCGACGAATAAAATAGGCGACGATGTGACAGCTCCAGAGGCAAAGATACTCACGCCCATGGAGATACACAAGCCAGGTTTGCAAAAACCACCTCGCGCAGCTCGAGCGCTCCCTTGTCAGGATGTTATTATCTAGCCTGTAGTGGGGTGCTCTATAGCGGGTACAACCCAGTTAGGGTTTGCTATATGTATCCCAACTGCTGCTAGTGAAATCCTTCTTTTCTGTTTCTAACTTTGTACTTCTTGATTCTGACATGGTATTAAGAGCTATAGGTTCTAGACCTAAGGGCCCACCGTTCCGCTAGTGGTGCCCTCGAGCGCCCCTTTTTTTTTAGCGCCCTCGTGCACCTCTCCTCTCGTGCGCCCTCGTGCGCTCTCCTCTCACGCTGCCCGTGTGCAGCCCGCTAGCAGCCAGAGCGCGGCCCCGCCGTTTTAGCGCACGTAGAGAAACCGCCGCCTAGGGCGGCTCGATTTTTTCTCGCGAGCCCCAGCAGGCCGTCGCCCGTAGGCCCCGCTAGCCCCTAGGCCGACGCGCGACCCACAGCCGCCCGCCCGCAGGTCGCAGCCAGCGCGCCGCGGCGATCGCGCGTCGGCTGCTGCAGCCCGCGCTTAGCCGCCGCTAGAACGCAGCCGCGGCCCGCGCGCAGCCGCACCCTAGGCGCCGCCACGCACCGAGCATAGGCCCGCCGTCACGCCGCCTTACCCACCCGAGCCGCGCCGCCCGAGTCGCGCCGCCCGAGTCGCGCCGCCCGAGTCGCGCCGCCCTGACCGAGTCGCGCTGCCCTACCTGCTCCTACTGCTACTACTGTTGCTACTGCTACTGCTGTTGCTATTGCTACTGCTGCTACTGCTACTACTGCTACCTGCTACTGCCACTATGGCCAGTCCCACTGTTCTCACCTTTGACGCCGAGGGCCGCCCGATTAAGTTCGATGTCTGGCTTGATGACCTGTACCTTCAGATCACTGCCAAGGACGATGTTTCCCTCTATGACCACACGTCCGGCGCTGCTCCCGCACCTCCCGCTACTGCTGACAGCACTGCTCGCTCCCAGTGGCAGAGCTCACGCTCGCCTAGCCGTTCGCAGTCACCTACCGTTAGATGAGCGCGAGCACTTCGGACAGCATAAGACCGCCAAGGAGCTGTACGACGCAGTAGTCGCGCGCTACTCCTCCCCTGCCACTGCTGCTATAGGCCGTCTCTCACTGCCCTACCTCTTCCCCGACCTGTCCGCCTTTGCAGCTGTAGCTGACCTCATCACCCACCTCCGTACCAGTGACCTCCGCTACCGTGCCGCACTCCCCCCCGATTTCCTCGCCAAGAACCCCCCCCCGATGTACCTCACACTGTACCACCTTGTCACCCGCCTCCCTGACTCCCTTCGCACTGTCAGGGACCAGTTTCTCGCCCTCTCCCCCACTGACCTCACTGTCGACCTCCTCGAGAAGGAGCTCCTAGCAGCTGAGAAGAGCATTGTAGCTGTAGGTGCCTCTCGTGGTGACCCCCGCACCCCCTTCTTTGAGGGGTGCTCCCCCTCCCCCCTCCTCCCCTCCATCGCATCTGCTGCTGCTGTCGACTACCTCGGAGCTGAGGGGGTCGGGGCCGCGTCTGCTCCTAGTGGGAGACGCAAGGGCGGCAGGGGCAAGGGGGGCAGGGGTGGTGGAGGTGGAGGTGGGGGCGGCAGCGGTGGAGGAGGTGGGGGGGGCGGGGGTGGTGGCGGGAGTGGGAGTGGCGCGGGTGGTGGGGGGGTCAGTGGCGGGCGCGGTGGAGCGGTGCAGCGTGGGGGGTTTGGCGGTGGCCAGAGGCAGCAGCAGCAGTGCCCCGGCGAGACTCCCTCGCCCCAGCAGCTCCGTGAGTGGTACTCTCAGCGTGGGGGGTCTGGGGGAGGGGGTACCTGCCCGTATGTCATCCGCACAGGTGACCGCACTGGCCAGACTTGTGGGAAGTTTCACACGGCGCAGTGCTGCTTCTTTCGCCTTGACGACGCCTGGCACGAGCAGTTCCCTGACGCCTCTGAGCTGCCCCGCTGGGCTGATCTGCTTAGGAAGGGGATTGATATCTTCGCTCTTGATTATGATGCTATCCTTGCTGCTATGTATGCATTGACTATTAGTGCTGAGGGTGACTGTTACCTGAGTGTACCGCCCGACCCGGGCATTGGGACCAGTGAGGCTGCAGCTCTAGGTGCTAGCGCGTCTGCTGCTCTAGGTCCTGGTGAGGCTGCTGCCCTAGGTGCTAGTGCGTCTGCGTCTGCTGGTACCGCACCTACTGAGGCACTGCACACCTTCACACTGGACTCAGGTGCTTCTCGCTGTTTCTTCCGCGACCGCACTGCCCTAGAGCAGCTTCCTCGACCGGTTGCTGTCTCCCTGGCTGACCCCTCAGGGGGTCCGGTCCTTGCGACCTCCACCACTGCCCTCCCTTGTCCTGCTGTCCCGTCTGGCACACTGTCGGGCCTCTACCTCCCCTCGTTCTCTACGAACTTGGTGGCGGGTTCCGCGCTCCAGGACGCGGGTGTTCACCAGTTCACCCCGGCCTACGAGCGTGTGACGCACTGCACGTGTGCGCGGACGGGTCGTCACCTGGCTACCTTCACTCGGCAGCCGGGGTCGGACTTGTACACACTGACCACTGAGTCCCCTCATGTAGCTGCGTCTGCGTCTGCGTCTGCGTCAGGTCAGCTGTCGGCCCCCTGCTCGTGCCGCTCCCTGTCACACAGGACTGTCCTATGGCACCACCGCCTTGGTCACCCGTCAGTGCAGCGCCTTCGAGGCATGCACTCCCGGTACCTTGTCTCTGGTCTTCCCATCTTCTCTCCTTCCATAGTTCCTCCTCCTCCTCACTTGCCCGCTGTGATTACCTCTAGCTTTGCTTATTATTGTGAACTCCTGCTATGCCTGCTCATTGTGCTGATTACACCCCACTTTGGCTATGGGGGTGTGTCAGAATGTTATTATCTAGCCTGTAGTGGGGTGCTCTATAGTGGGTACAACCCAGTTAGGGTTTGCTATATGTATCCCAACTGCTGCTAGTGAAATCCCTCTTTTCTGTTTCTAACTTTGTACTTCTTGATTCTGACATCCCTCACACGCCAACGGCCGCGGTGAATGGAGCCTCGTGCGCCCCGGTCTGCACGACATGTCCCCGCTGCAGCACGACGATGCAGTGCGCGCAGCGCACGGAGAGGCGGTGGGCGACGACGAGCGTGGTGCGCGCGCCCATGAGCGCATCGAACGCAGCCTGCACCGCCTGCTCGCTCACCGCGTCCAAAGCCGACGTCGTCTCGTCCAGCAGCAACACCTGCGGATACCGCAGAATCGCCCGCGCGATCGCCACGCGCTGCTTCTGACCCCCGACAGCTGCATATCTCGCTCCCCCTCATGCGTCTCATAGCCCTGCGGGGGGAGGGGGAGGGTACGGAGGGACGAGAGCGGTAAGGATGGGAGTGCGAGCCCGGGGCATGGGAGGCGGAAACGAAGGGAAAGTGGGAACGGAAAGCAGTCTGAGGAGCAGGGGCAAGAGGGAGAGACGAAGCTGAGAAGAAAGACGTACGAAGGAGAGGCGCGAACTCACTTACGTCGGGCAGCGAGGATATTAAGTAGTGGATGTTGGCGAGGCTGAAGTGCTGGAAGATGGGCACGTCCATCACACGCCAGGCTAACCTTGAAACTGGGAGGGGTACGCAAAGGTCACCTCGCGCAGCTCCAGCGCTCCCTCACGCACCAAGCTAACCTTGAAAATCCTTGGGGAATGGAGTTGGGAGGGGAGGGCAGATGCAAAAAGGGGATAGAATATATTAAGGAAACGAAGTTTAAGGACAGGGAGAGCAAGGTAGCTTAAGAGATTGCTAGGCCCTAGTAGTGGATGTAACATATTGTCGGTAACAAATACTAATAACAAATACTAAAAACTGGAGCACTATGAAAGAGGCACATAGAGCGCCGGAGGGTGTCTAGATATTCAGGAGAAAAAGCGTTGCGAGGACCGAGGAGTGTGACTTGAATGGAAGATCTAGGGAGGCAGAGCATTTGTATGGCGGGGTGGGTGTTGGGTGGAGCGGTGGGGAGGATGAGGGGTCGAGAGTGGTGTGAGGTTCGGTATGCTGATGTGTGGGTAAGGGAGGTTGTGAGTGTTGATTCTGACTACAACGATTGGTTGAGCAGATTCGTAAGGCTCGGTTTATTAGGTTCGGAGAGGTGGGAGATATTGGTGGTTATCAGAGGTCTGATGTGGCACGTTATGGGGTGATGTACTGTACTTGGCCCAGAGTGGACATGTTTGGTGTGCCTTCGTCCCTTATGCTCGACTTGGCGGATTTGTGTGTTCTTTCTGTGGTTGCGAAATTAACGAACTTCATTTCCCCGTTTTGATTTTTATCGCTGGGGGTCTCATAATTTCGTCTGTTTCGTGATCCCCCTTCACCACGCGAAGTTGAGGAAGTCGGTCCACAACAGAATGACGAATCGCATTCAAACGCTCTCAACCACGGATCCAACCGGACGACCTGAGCGTTTTTGCGTCTAACACCTTCGTGTCACCAGGATGTTGCTGAAGTGTGACTTTTTTGGCCCAGATCTGTCCTACGAAATTGTGACATTCCCGTCACATTTTCTCTGGGATGTTTTGTGTGCTTTCGGGGACTTTCTGTGTGCTTTTTCGTAGAAAAAACCTACGGGGGCCAAAATTTTGCGTCTGACATTTCCGCGATGATGTCGAATACCAAGTTTAGTACTACTAGGTCGCTGGGCCCGAACTGAGCTCAGACACAGGCAGAGCGCGCTTTCTTCGAGAGTTACCGGTTCGATGATGTCACCCGAAAATCATATCGCTGAATGCGGCGGACAGTGAGGCAAGGCAAGGCACGTTTGGCAAGGGAACCTGCCGCGCAGCCGCTTCAACGTCAGCATCACCGATTGACGTGGCATGGAATGGCTGGCGATTTGCTGTAAGTGGTAAAGGTCGAGGTAAAGTGGGGGGAGAACCCCATTGGTGTTACCCCCAGCTGTCAGTCGTAACACGCCTAAGGGCGTGGAACATCCTTTTGAACAAGGCGATGGTCGCCCAACAGCGACAGTAATCATTGTTGCGACCATCGCCATTGACCTACGAAGCAGACTGACGAAGACTGCATGAAGAACGCACGTTCCACAGCTTATGCTTGTTGGTTGCCCCACCCGTTGAACCTCGCAAATAAGACAAGAAGTGGCGACGTCAGGAAAAACATGCGAAATGAAACCAGGTGTTGTCGTGAGTGACGTGCTGCGACCCAATTTGCAGCACGGTGTTTGACGATCAGGCGCTTTCGTGTATCATCGCGCGACTCCGAATTTCTGGGCGACCAAGTGTTTCCAACTTGGGATATGGGGTTTTGCGTGTTACCTGACGAAAACCATTGACGAGACAAATGTTCGACCAGAGAGCCGACGGGACACTTGTTCACAAGGATGTTCCACGCTCTAATACCCACTCCCTAACAGACGTTGTATGCGCTATTTACAAAGTTGTACAACGCACCCAGGAGCGCGCTTCGTTATGATAACAGAAAGTGAGAGCAATAAATAAATGCGAACGGGCTTTGGCAACTCACCAAATTTCTCTCTTTCTTCGTCGTTGTGGATTGACCAGAAACGGAAGCAGCGTGCGAAAAGGGAATCTGCTAATGTCTGTCATCAACTTTGCGATGTCTGTCATACTACACCTGATGCCTATTTCAGTCCCCTTCCCCATCTTTCCCTGTGCTCCTCTCTCGAGCACGCGCTCCCCATGGGGAGAATGGGACTGTATTTGGGTAGCCTAGCGTGTATTGTCTGGGAAACTCGAATAACTTATTCGAGGTCAAGAATATCTTGGTTTTGTCGTGGGCTAGTAACGCGCGGGCCGTTGGCTGTGAATGTCGATCACTGGGCGTATGGAGTGGCAGTGGGCGTGTTCAGAGTGGGCGGTTGAGTGAGCATTAGGGTGTAGCACCTTGAAATCCGCCGTCCCTCATGTTCACCTTCACAGTCAGAGAGTCCCGTCACTGCTGAGTCAGTGGATTCCAAGTGGAAACGAAGAAATTCAGAGACTCAGAAGACATGAGTGGAACTTTCAAGCTCGTGGAGATCTGGAATTCCAGTCAGAGCAGATGTACGTACCGTCTATGCTTACCTTGCACCATCGGAAATCCTTCCGCGCTGGCTTCACTGTCAGCAGTTCCCACCAGGCATTCGCTAGCTTGCCTTGGCGACGGGCTGCCCGATGAACTATGAATGGAGTGCTGGGTCACAAAAAAATACTGTAGTTCGCTTCGCTCCACAAAATGCAAATATCTGAAATGAATGTGCACGTCTTGAATCGTGACTGGCGGGGATGCTGCTTTGGTTGTGAAATCCCCGCAAAGCAGGGGGCTCGCACGCATTTTTAGAGTGTCGAACCAATTCCCAAGCCAAAATTGTCAGATTTATATGACATAGCTACTGTAGGCTATAGTGGGGTAGCACATATGGGGTACAGTTTTCTAGGGTTTGCTTTTGTACCCAACTTTCCTTTAGTCATTTCATTCCTCGTTTCTTCTCATGGTATCGAGCAGGTTCCCTAGTGGGAACACTTCCTAGGGCCCACCACGAATCTTTTTTTTTTTTTTCCTGCCCGGAGCGCGCTTCGCTCCTGCCCGAGTCGCGCCCTGTGTGCCCTCCCTACCGTCGTGCCCTCTCACGGCCCCTCACGGTCCGTTCGCGTCGCCCTTAGCGGCCCCTCTCACGGCCCCCTGCGCCGCCCTTACGGCCCCTCGTGCCACCCTTACGGCCCCTCGCGCCGCCCTTACGGCCCCTTACGGCCCCTCGCGCCGCCCGTCGGCCCCTCGCGCCGCCCTTAGCGGCCCCTTACGGCCCCTCGCGCCGTCCCTTGCGGCACCTCCCGCGGCCCCTCACGCCCCCCTACGGCCCGTCGCCGCCCTCCGCGGCCCCTCGCGCCGCCCTATCACGGCCCGTCGCCGCCCTCCGCGGCCCCTCGCGCCGCCCTCCACGGCCCCTTCGCCGCCCTTAGCGGCCTCTCGCGGCCCTGTCGCCGCCCCCCCTCCGGCCCGCCGTCGCCGCCCCTGCCGCAGCGGCCGCCGCCGTCCCTGCAGCAGCAGCCGCAGCCGTCGCCAGCAGCAGCCGCCACCACCTCCCTCGGGGCCGCAGCTGCTGCCGCCGCTGACTGCACCCGCCGGTGCGCCTCGGCCCTACCGGCGCCGCTCCACCCGGCCCCGCCGCCGCTCCCCGCGCGGCCCCGCCGTCACCACCGAGCCGCCGGCGCCGCCGAGCTGCTGCCGAGCTGCCCGATCCACCCGAGCCGCCCGAGCCGCCGCGCCACCTGAGCCGCCCGTGTTGCCGAGCCGCCGTACCGCCGAGCCGCCCGAGCCGCCCGAGCCGCCGAGTCGCCGAGCCGCTGTTGCTGCCGAGCCGCCGTACCGCCGAGCCGCCCGAGCCGCCGAGTTGCCGAGCCGCTGAGCCGCCGAGCCACCCGAGCCGCCCTGTCTGGTAAGAGCAGCGCCTCTGTCACTGCACTGCCCTTACCCTACTGTTCGCGCTGCTAGTCTACTGCTGTCATGGCTACCCCTAGTGTCCTCGCTTTTGACGCTGAGGGTCGGGCCATTGACTTTGACGTCTGGGTAGATGACCTGCAGCTTTTCCTACAGTGCGATAGGGCAGACGGTCTCTCCCTCTTTGACCTCACCTCTGGTGCCTCTCCTGCCCCTGCTGCTGATGCCGACACCACTGTTCGCTCACAGTGGGCCACTCGCGATGCTGCTGCACGTCTTGCTGTGCGTCGCCACCTGCCTACCTCTGAGCGTGCGCACTTTAGCCAGTACAAGAGTGCTCAGACCTTGTACGACGCTGTAGTTGCGCGCTACTCCTCCCCTGCCACTGCTGCACTGAGCCGCCTCATGCTACCGTACCTCTTCCCTGACCTTGCTGCCTTTCCCACAGTCGCTGACCTCATTACGCACCTCCGCACTAGTGACACTCGCTACCGCGCTGCGCTTCCTGCTGAGTTCTGCGCCAAGAACCCCCCCCCCATGTACATCACCCTCTACTACATAGTCACCCGGCTCCCTGACTCCCTTCGCGTAGTCAGGGACCACTTCCTCTCAGTTTGCCCCACCACTCTCACCGTTGACCTCCTCGAGAAGGCCCTCCTAGCAGCAAAAAAGAGCATAGTAGCTGTAGGAGCCTCTCGTGGTGACCCTCGCACCCCCATCTTTGAGGGGTGTTCCCCCTCCCCCCTTTTGCCCTCTGTTGCCTCTGCTGCTGCGGCTGACCTCGTTGGGCTTGAGTCGGTCGGTGCGGCGTCTACCCCTAGCGGGAGACGCCGCCCTGGCAAGGGCAAGGGGGGCAGGGGCACTGGAGGAGCTAGCGGGGGCGGTGGAGGCGGCGGTGGAGGCGGTGGAGGGGGTGGGGGTGGTGGTGGGGGTGGTGGCGGGGGTGGAGGTGTCGGTGGCGGCAGTGGAGGCGGAGGCGGCGGCGGCGGTGGCGGTGGGAGCGGAGGTGGCGGCGGTGGAGGAGGCGGCGGCGGAGGAGGTGGAGCTGGTCGAGGTGGCGCTGCGCAGAGGGTCGGCTCCGGTGGTGGTCAGCGCCAGCAGCAGCAGCAGTAGCAGCAGCAGCGCCCCCGTGACATCCCCCCCCC